AAGCGTTCATTGGGGATTCGTCGAACTCGAGTAGCGGCAGTTTTGCGTGTTGACCTTGCCGTCCAGCTGAAATGTCGCCTCATCGCTTAACAGCGAAAACTGCAAATGCGATGGATCTTGTGCAATCCTGAAGAGTTCTTCCCGGCAAAAGGCGAGCCGCATCTCGTGGTCACCACGCAACAACTCACGATTCAAATCAAGCTTGTACGTGCGAATCTAGCTGATTGCCTTGCGCACGGTTTGCTCGGATACGCCGAACAAACGTGCGGCTCTTCGCAAATACAAAAATGGGGATCTGACTCAAAGGCACCGACGACGGCGAAGGGGAGCTATTCCGTTTAAGAAAAAACGTGGAAGACGTGCGTTTTGTTCTTGACACTACATTCTTCTGCAAAAAATCCAGGCCAAGGTTCAGATCACCGACTTTGAAGGAGGCCGCAAGCCGAACTCCAAGAAGAAATTGCGCTTGACCTTTTTAAAGCCTTCTATTTCCGCGTACTACAGTACGACCTGACTCCACTGTTTTCGCGTGAACTTTCGCATAAGGAACACCTGTTGGTGATAAAATAAAAGTAAAAAATTAATAATAAATGCAGGTGCACGTAGATGACTGTCGGCGTTCGTGAAGACAGAAGCAGACGACGTCTTCCTCGGTATTTATCTGCATGCCTTTTCACAAAAAAAAAAAATAATAACACGTGACTACTATTTTGGATTTTTTCTTCTATTAACAATTTATACGGCTCGGGAAAGGATACGATGCTTTTCTCAGGTATTGTAGGAGCTTAGACAAGTCAGGGAGCGCGGGAAGCCTCAATTGCAAGTGGTGCCATCTGTGTGATGTGGTCACAAACAGCGGCATCTCATACACGTAAACAGTTTTTCACCTTTACATTTTTTTTATTTCAGTGAAGGTAAGTGTTCAAACTTTGGCATCTTGCTCGAATGACTGGGGCTATGTTCTGATGAGATTTGAGCCCTGCGCGCCCGGTATATATAGAAATAAGCGTTACCTTCATATCCAAGGAGTAGGATACTTGCAGATATCTCTTCGCACGGCACACGAGCGGGTGAAAATATATCGGCCCAAGCTCAAGAGTAGCCTGAACCAAGACATGAACCACGCTGCGTAGTTGTGATTCTGCTGTGTTCTCTGAGATAATGCAATGGTGATGGTGTCACGGCTGAATAAAGCTTGGACAACACCTCCTGGATAGCGAAGCCGTGCTGCCTGGGATCGCTTCAAAACTTGGTAGGCTTTAAAAATGCTAAGCGAAAGCGAAACAAAGCTGGTAGTACAAAGAACATATAGAGTCTATGACTTCCTTTATTAAAATTTGCAGAACCTTTATGGAGTTTCTCTTTTTATACTTCTGGGTAAGGGCAACCGTGTATGGTATAGTTGAATACAGGCGATCTGCAGTGCCTTTTATAGTTTTCGAGGCAAGCTTGTGGTGGTGTAGAAAACGTTTCTTTTGTCATCATCAGGTCACAGACTGTAAATAATCAGTTAAAAATAACATTGAATGGTTCTGGAGAAGCTATTGCCGCCTTATGCTTGTTTCAATATTGTGCTGACTAAACATGACAATAAACTAGTTTTCCCCGCGAACACTCAAATTTCAAGAGCCCAGAAATGGACACCAGATCATTGGTGTATTTTTGGAAACGTGCTCAAATACAGAAACTTTTGAGGTCATCTGTCCATTCCCCCAAACATTTTTTTAACATAATTTTTACTGATTGAACAGAAAGTAAAGCTTCCTCTATGTTCAATATTTAGTCTTTATTTATGCCGTCTAAGCGTGTGTGTGAAGCACTCGTATATCCTTTGCTGGCTTAGAAGGTTTAGTGAAAAATAAGAAAATGCTTGAGGGTTTTAGCTTCGAACTTTGGCTATATTAATAAATCAGTTTGATAATGAATCTACAAATAAGCACACATAAACACACGAATACACAAAGAAAATGCGTACATACGTGAGCTTATAACCGACAAACCATTCGCTTCTGTGTCAAAAACGTTATCCGCACGCAGCTGAGCAGACAACTAATATTTCGCACGCGAGATTTCATAACAAAATGACGTGTTGTGTTTGTACACTATTCGCAGGGCATTGTCCACCTAAGGGAATATTTATGTACACGGGGAACCAACCTTATTCGGAATATGCAAACGGTTTCTTCTTTATTGGTGTGCTACCTCTAGGACTTAGCGCTCAAGAAAAATCCAGAGCAGGGGAGACCGCTTGCTGGACCGTGGACTTAATAGCTATTTGGCCGGCCGACCGAGCTATGCTTATCGCCACCTTCTCGTACGAAGATCCATACGCCACTGTAGAAACACTAAGTGATTGTATGATTCACTTACTAGGCATTCTACATTTATACTGAAACAGGTGAAATGCGTAGTTCACCTCGAGAGCAAACTTGCTGTGCATTCTCCAGTCCTGCAGCGAGTTCGGCCATGATCAAGCTACTTCTCTGCTCGAACTGCTCCATTCATTCCGTGCTATGTCAAGCTTTAACCTGATCATATTTTCTCTTCAAAATCCACGTGCAGCTGCCCGGAAACCAGTTGTTGCACTTCGCCAAATCCAGTACAGTCTCTAAACTAAGCGACTTCGACGAAACCGCTCTCCTCTGTTCTAAGATCATATCGTTCATGCAGCGGCCAGTTTGACCGTCGTACAAAAATGCACATGGCAAAGGAATGTCATATGTATAACACTTTTCCTACACTCAGTGGGATAATCTGAATAAGTTTGCATAAACTTTGGTCAACAGAGAAAGGCGTACCTACTAAACAAACGTTTGTGTAAAAACAATGTTACATCATAACGAGCCCATAGCGCTTTCAAATTGTATGACATTACATAAAAGAAATGTAGACAAAACGAACTGTAGCCCTTTTTTTTCTACCACGCTTACCTTGCTTAAGCAAAGGGTTCTTCCCAGTGCTCCAAGTAGCTTCTAAGGAATAACCTGAACCATGTAACCGCGAAGAATGAATTGATATTCGCCTTTGGAAGCTGACGCCTTTTTCCATTCATCGCCAAGGAAGTGAAAAAGGTATAAATATTCTACTATTCAGCGAAGGAAATGCGCAGTGTATGGCATGCATTTAGAATGTAGTTTTTCTTTTTTTTTGAACATCGGGCAGACAGACAGCGGCGTGGACGATAGATTTTAAGAACACAAGGTTTTTTTCAAAGTTGCGTGATTCAAAGGTTGGAAAGCATTTAGCGCAGTGCAACAATTATTTTCTTGGTTGGAACATTACGATAATTTTAAGCGTAAAATCAAATCAATTAAAACATGTCGTCAAATAGTCTGTTAGTATCAGTTGTAAAGGAAAATGGTGTTAGTCTGCCCTCAATCGTTTTAAAGAAGCCAGAAGTGTTTTCAAATATAATATAGCTTTTTGTATGCTGTATTACGACGAGAAGGTTGGGGTTGAAAAATCAAGGTATGTTTAATATCACTTGCTGGGTCCTGGGCCTGAAGCTTGTTGATATTGTTGGGGGAGATTGTTTTTATTGTTTTCTTTCAAGCAAATAGTAGAAGTGAGCGCGTAAAGAGGTTTCTGGCGTCGACAGGGGTGCCCTGTCTCTATAAAAGGGTTGTTTTCAATAAACTATTAGCTCTGCTCGTAGACGTTTTCTGTTGTCCCTTCTTTTTATGTGTTCTTGTTTTCATCCCTTCCGTAACTTCAGTTATGTCAGAAGAAGCTAATTGTTTCCTCAAGTTACTGAATTTCCCGCGCAGAACAAAATTCGTGACCGCGTCTTGGGTTGGTTTATATGCGAGATGCTTGTGTTCATTGTTTTAGGAAGAGACACAATTCCAGAGCCGAATACGTTTACATAATCATACTAACATTACTACTAAGTTGTACCAGTAAAAAGTCGTGCCATTTTGAAAAGTTAATTAGCACCTTGAGCAGAGACTATATTTTTCTGTGCGCTATTCAATTTCTGATAGAATACAGTGTTAATTCGAAACAATTACTTAATGTAAATGCTTTGAACCACCAACATGCCCCACTTGTGCTCTAGCTAGTTTTTCGCACCCACTTTGAGGAAACCAGTTGTCCGGTGTTTTTATTATCATACAAGACATCATGTCGGAAAACACAATCTCAAGTTTGTATTCTGTTGCAAACCATGATTCTGCTCAAAAATAAATGAAATATTGTCACAAAAACAAATAAGTCGACCAATATAAATTATTTTAGAAGAGCAATCCTACCGAAATACCCAGTATAACTTTTCGCAATCTAGATTATGGAACTTGAAATTCATCTGAAGTCCATCTAGATTTCAAGTTTTTAAAAACGATTCCTCTGTCTGCAACCTGGATTTCGGCTTTCCGCAAACAATTCTAGTTGCATTTCGAGTTCAAAATGCAGATAGTGAAAAGTTACACTAAGCTTTTGAGAAGAAAAGTTTCTTGTAAACCACACGTGTAGCATACCATATGTAATAACTTCGATGCATTGATTGCTGCTACATTTGAAGCATACCGGCTATCTGCGAGTTTCTATCTTGAAGCGCACTCATGCTTTCGCGGTAGGTACAGTACCTGAGCGTGGGTACGGTCTTAAGATGTTATTGGTTGCACAACTATCAACCCAGCGAGGTATAGACTAGCCGACAATCGGCGGACTGGATTATATTCCTATGACATCGACGGTGCTACTCCCATTCACTTTTTCCTAAAACAATAGGCCAGTGCTTAAAAAACGTATCAACAGCTGGTCAGTTCCTACGAAAAACAAGGTCAACCACCATCGAATCTACTTGAATAGAACTGGATTGAATTACTGATTGCAAAATTGTTGCAAAGTCTTAAGGGTTCTTCCAAATTTAGCGTGAACATAAAAGTAGAACACTACCCAATTGCCTACAAACTCAGCGAATAGACCGAAAGAAATGAACACATAAGTGGATATCCAGCGTGTTAGAAAAAGACTTCGGACGTAGTTCGTTATGTCACCGCTTATGCGGTTAAACGAATTCCATACAAAAGAAACCTCAGCGCACCTGGTTCTATGCTCATAGTAATTATGTACCCAGTCACATTTCTTATATAAAGTGGCTGGTTAAATCTGCAAAGTAAACAGGTTAAAACTCTAATCTTGTTGTAATATATCAACGATAGTTTTTGTATGTTAAACGCAAATAACATACTCACAGACTACCGTCCATGTAGAGAAAGAATAGGTCATAATTTGAGTAAGTTTTGTTTCCATACGTCCCACTGTAGAAAACTTGATAACCACAAGTTAAATCCGAATAATTTTCAACTGATTGAAGCATGTACGTTTGAGGGAGCTTCTGGATAACCTGAAAATATGTTTAAATATTTGATTAAACATTGCAACCACCTTATTTTAAGCACCCGAAAAAACATAAATAAAATAACTCTTTCTATTGTAGATTTAGCATCAAAAAAGTACGTTAAAAACGACATATACGGCAGCATTTGTTTCTATGTATACAGGTCATTTAAAATAGTGTTGTTGTTTTCATCTTCGTCGTATATTTCGGTTAAGATTTTGGAGTAACGCGCTGACCGGCGCTCTTTTTTTCTGGACCATACCCTATCTCACAGTCTACCTATCGCCCTGCCGTAAAACTAAAGATATCTCTGACGCGGGAGAGAAGAAAAATCCGGTTCAACGCGCGTCTATAAGCCGACAGAGCGGTGGAAGTTGCGAGCTCGCTAAACCAGGCGTGCGTCGATCTTTCGGGCTCAAGGTCACAGCGCATTTCGTCACACAAGCGCAGGAAGATGACTTAAGCCATGTAACTGCGCTTTGGACGCTGCTTTACCGGCCGCATTGTCGTGTTGCATCGGCAGTACGCACCGACTGAAAAACGAAGTACAGTTTACGGGTTGCCACGTTCGTGGATGCCGCTTGGCAGAAGCGATCTGGCGTTTTTTTGTTTTTTTTTTTCGTTGACATCTGTATGACACTGGAGGAAATCAAAACGTTCATCTGTGCATGCCATTTTTATCATTTTCTTCTATTCGCGTCTATTTAGTGCAGGTCTAACCATGCACGAAAGTGCCCCGAATCGTGGCTTCGTTCTTACCGACGGTGCAATGATACAGATCAAAGTAATCGGGAATGCGCGGTCAGCAAGACGACAGGGTGGCTATGGGAAGCGCATTCTCAAAGTAGAGCCGCTCGTGGGCGTTGAAAATAAACAACCCTGTAATTATTAAGTAAATGCAATGAAACTGTTCTAAAACAGTCTAAGAATAGTATCGCTTTATTAGGTTAAACAATAATAAAACGTTCATTGCATCTTAGAATAATTTTGGGAAATGTCAAACATTGCCGATTACCCATAACTGTTGTAGATTTTTTTAGTCCAGTGGCTACACCGACGAAGCGATGTCAGTTAGTTGTCTCAAGTTCATGGCTGGACTTGCAATGAATGCACTAAACACAATGTCGGCCAATAGGCGGAGCCTTGGCTGTAAGATTGGCCACAAATCGCAACGAGGAACCGGCGTCGGCCAGTAGCTGGAACATTCGCGGCAAGACTGGCCTCAAAATGCATAATGAAAACCATATCGGCAATTAGCTGGAACTTCACGGCGAAACTGGTCAGAGAATACAGCTAGAAACCAATGTCGGCAGGAGCTGGTACTTTAACAGCGAGACTGGTCACAAATAGCAGCCAGGAACCGGTGCCAGCCAGTAGCCGGAACTTGCATGGCGAGACTGACTATCCAGGTCCGAGAAGTGCCAACGCCTGCAGGGGCTGGCTACTCAGTGGCACCGCTGGCCGCCTTCCGCCGTTCAGTTCCCGGTACGTGCCGACGTTGGCCCAGTACTGGTCGACATGCTGCGCTATCTCGGCTAGGACAATATATAATAGGCGGCTTTAAGTTGCCCTTGGCGAACTACTCCACAAGATAATTATAAACAATCAATTGTCGCGTCATAGTCCCATTGATTCATTGGTATGTAAAGGGTGACCAATGTTGCCTTTATTATTTACGCCGTCTAGAGCCCGTCTTTTTGAGCCTAAAAAAATGAAAAACACTGCAAGGGTAGAGGTTCGGAGATACAGGAGTTAAAGTGCTGGCGTCCTCGGATGATTTGGATGTTTTGTTTTGTAGCGAGAAAGAAAATGTTTCACTAAGGCGCTAAACCTGAGTAAAGGTTTTTGCGATGCAGCTCCCGCAGTTGTGAACTGAAAGAAATGATTCGGCCTTTGGCATGGGTTTGGGGCCACGACACCCTTGGCTTTCGAAGGTACTATTTGGAGCTGTGTTCCTGTCAAGTACCTCGGCGTGCCAACTAGAGCAGCAGGTGGTACTGGTCAAACGTTGCTGCGGCCCTGGGAAGGCGTGCTTCGCGTTGGAAGCACCGCGGTCTGTCCATCTTTGTCCGAGAAACAATGTGTAGCGTTTTCTTCACAACAGTGTATCTTGCAAGTACTTCATTAGGAGCGTTAGAGCCTGCTAAATTCTCATCGTGTCTTTTCAACGTGTATTTGGTGTTCCAGTTTAGACAGTATGTGTCTAGGTAACCTCCTTTGCCGTGTTTGCCCTGGTGGGCTCGGGCACTCGCAATTGTTTCAGAGGCAACTTTTCTCACGTTTTATATTCTTTCACGATCAAGAACATCCACATATACGTTCGCTTGTTCAAGCGAGACTGTCGTATTATGCATCTCTTTTTTGCGGGGGTTTTCTAGTATAACTTCCGTAAAGCAGGAAAGGTTTTTTTTTTTTTTGGGGGGGGGGGGGAGGGGGAGTGTCGTTGACTGTGATTTTTATAATCACACAATTTTTCCGTTAATGGTTTTCAGTTGCGTGCAGAAAAGCGCAATAGTGGCCTCTAGTTGAAAGTCTTTTTCCACCACCTTTTTACAGAAGTCTATATCCGGAAGGTGAAAATTAGCTGAAAAGATTGCTGACTGGGCGAGTTGGTAGGTCAAGAGGACCGGTGGCATTACCATACATGCATAAGGTCCCTCATAGCCTTAAGAGGGCAGGAAGTAGAATTAACATAGGTGTTGTTTCTTCAGCCGCCCAAAAAGCTCTACAGTACGTGTAAAAAGATAAATTCGGCTTCAAATAACACCGTAAGTTGCACCAAGAAGCACAGATTGAACTTTGTTCCCTGTGTAGAAGGTGTAATTTACTCCTTCCCACTTTCTCGTGGGGGAGTGTACATAGGCGCGGCTGGTCGCTGTCTGAACGAATGCCTTCGTGAGCATGCCAACAAAGTCGTCAACGCCAACCCTGGACATTCTGGACAACAATGTAGGGACTATTGGTGTTCAGCGCTTTTGAGAAACTGCACTGTGCTGTGAAGGAGCCCTAATCAGCGCACCAGGTAAAGTATCGAGGCAGCAAGAATCGAAGGACACATCGACAAGTGTGTCAGCAGGCCATCTTTAACTCTCACAAAGAGAGCTTGAGTATTTGCCGAAAAGGTATCTTGGGCAGAAGCAGGGATAATCTTTATTATTTGTATATATATCTATCAGTTTTGAACTTTAGAATTAACTTGAACACGAAGAAAGACAGGACAGAAGAGGACAAACAGCTGACCGCGAATGGTGTTTTAGTGTAAACTTCTTCCTCGTGCGTTTGCTTCCTTGTTGAGAGTCCAATACAGAGAGTAGAGTACGTTAAACATAGTATCTAAATTAACCTTTTGCACTAATAAAGATAACTACCGATATTTCCACTTATACAAATGATACGGAACATTTACGCAGAATTTTCTAAAAAATACTGATTTTTAAACTAACCTGCGACAAGCAGTTGTTGCTTTTCAAAGCGTGAGATTTCGTAGGTATTTTCTTTCTTTTTCGCGAACGGTGATTTACAGGGTGATGACAAAATCTTTCGCGTGTTTCAGGATAGCAGGCGCCTCGAGCATCTCACTTGCACGAGGTTTGTTGTTGCTGGCCACAGTGGTTGTGCTGTTAAAAGCCGAACTTCACTGGCATGGCTTGCAATCAGCTGCCAGATACCCTGCCGCTGTTTCTTTAAATGACGCTGCATGCACGTGGTCTCTGTCCTTGATACATCGGCCCGTTTGGCCTATGTAGCTTTTGCGGCATGGAAGGGGAATATGGTACACCACTCCTGTTGTGTATGGGGTATACTGCGTTCTGTCGGCCGTGTAGCAGGTTTTTTTTTTTTCCTTTTTTTGATTAACTTGTCTGCACGTGGAGTAGCCTTTGTTGGGCACAAAGCATACTACTTGAACTTAATTTCTGGCGGCAAGCTTCTTCAACTTGTGCGTGATCCCGTGAATGTAGGATAGCGCCGCAGTTGTTCCTCGAATTTTGTCTGCGTTTTCGTTCTCCGGTCTTCTACGCTTCACATTTTTGAAGATGTTCTCACACGCGGGTACCATGAGACTTGTAGGATATCCTGATTCACGTAGTCGTGACATAAGTTTTTTTAAGTTTTTTCCTATATGATGTTTACAGTGATTTGTGAAGTGCAGAGTTTAGAGCCGTGCTGGCGACGGATCTCTAAATGATTCTTGAGTGTTTTGATGTGAACGGCAGAAACAGTCTTGCTGACCGGGGTTCGTACCTCCAGCACACGTGTCCTTGATTGAAAATAAGAGTGAGGTCTAGAAGTTTTCTATTTTTGTCCACAGGTGTCTCATGCATGAAACCCAGGTCAGGGCACCTTTATTGTCAGCGTCCCTAAACTGTATTTCTGTGTCCGTTTAATTACACTACTATCGCATCTGGGTATGCATGAATGCGATCTTAGCACATCGAAATGAGCAGGAACCAAGCAGCCCTACGGGATGCGTGTGACAAGCTTTAGCGCCAACTTGACTGTCGTTTCTAGAACAAGATATGAGCTCTACGTGAGCGTTAAAGGAAGAAGACAGCCAGCACAAGAGACTCAGAAAGCAACTGCGATCACGGACTGGAACGATCGAAGCGAGCCGATTCAAGCTTGTCCACAATCATCGCATATGCGTGTGGGTCGGAACAAATAAAACGACTTTCAAACAGCGCATATCAAAGTTATAATCACTGTGTCTTACTTTGATAGACTCCTGTTTTATGACCAACCGAAATTAGTAAGCTCGCGGTTGTGTTCGCTCGAAGCTGTCTAGATATGTCCAGGTGGCGGCTGACATAAAGGCGCAGTCCAGCGGGGGACGTGTGGCAAGCTATAACGACAAATAATTTTTTTTTTTGGTAAGCAACTGCCTGCTGTTTTTTCCTCCACGCAGGACTACTGCATTCAGAGTGCCTCTTCTTGAAAGCATGGTACAGAGTTCGATTCCCATCGAGCAGCTTCATAAATCTCGTGTGTTACAAACATTTCGGCTAATCGAGTGCTTGTACCATATATCAGGACTAGGATGGCTTTCTTGGATTTTTGTGCATTGCCAAATATGGGTGATGTATGCTTCTTGTTACCTCGGCTTGTGTCCGAAACTTTTTGTCACACTCGTGCTTGACACTTTTCGCATAACATCCTGCCTAAGAAAACATTTTGTGAATACACTGCTAGTCGGGGTGATGACACTGGGGTAAATTTAGTGGGAAGCTGCGACGAGAGATTTACTCTTCAAAGTAACCTGCGACGTCATACATGTGTATATATGAATCTTCACGTACTTGTGTTCCAACTACAAAAAATATTATTTGCGCATCACGTCGTTATAAATGAGTTACATGTGCGGTATTTTCTTACCTCGTTGGCATCGGGATAATCTCCTTTCCTCTTCTGAAGTAAACTAGCATCGCTGTGATGTAAGAGCAGTATTCCCAAGAAGAAGAAGACGAACATTGCCTCTCGAGGTTTAAACAGGTATATACGTGCCGACACGAAATATATCTTGGTATAGTGCTAGATGTTTATAACAATAGAATTTCAAAAGTAAGATCTGATTTTTTTGTGTGAAACTGTCAACTAGCTGCTAAATCACAATAGACATTATCCAAGTATCACAAAATGTTATTCTGACACATGTTATTTTTGCGTCCACAAACCATTTCTGCTTGACAGACGCACAAGATAACCTTTCGCTTCGTGTACCGTGAAAATAGCTTTACATTGAGCGTGTTAAACCATAAGGTTCCAAAACATTTAAGAAAATGAAATGCGTATAATCCTAGCTATATTTTTCAGCAAATAAACCGGCGAGGTCGATGACCTTCAAGCGGAAGTTTATTTCCGATGCTGAAATATCGCTTTTAAAATCTATCCGGCGCACCTTTTAGAGTAAGTTACACGGCGTTTCTTCTTATATTCAAATTGTTGAGAACAAGGATCACGCTTTGCCGAAACGCAGTAAAAAAATTCACCAGTCCTGTGTAAAACGCAAAACACAAATGAGCGAAAATGGCGTCGCATCGCACTGCCATGCTGCGTAATTCCAGAAAGTACCCATAGCAAAGCGCACTGAAAACTACACAATACACAGAGAGAATACAACACTTGAAGGACGAACACAGACATACACAGTTCTTTCAATGAGCAGCGAACATTTATGAAATGCCCATGACGCTACGACCGCGAACTTCAAAGAATTGAAAGAAGGAGAACAAAAATTAAACGAAAATAAAGAAAATGAAAGTGCTCAAATTTAAAATAAAACTAAATTGCTCAAAATATTAAAGATACCAATTTAAAAAGATAGGACATTTATGGAAATTAACCCCTGAATAAACAGCAACGGGAAGAAGGAAAGAAAGAAAATTAACCCTTGAATAAAGGGAAAAAAGAAGAAAAGAAAAGAAATTAACCCCTGAAAACGGGAAAAACTAAGAAGAAAAGAAAGGAAAAGAAGGCAAAATGAATAATTGATAAAAAGGGAGCGCGCGCTTGACCGCCGACTAGGAAGGACGTGTCCTTTCGAAGCTCCGCAACCCAACCCAGCGCGCCCAAGTCGATCATGGTCGACAAATTTGCAGCCACATTTGCTGCCGTTCTACGCCAGTCCTGGGCCCAGCCACCGGCTCAACCAGGACTTGCGACACCCATCAGCTCGGCCTCTTCGCCATGGTTCCGGCCGGCTCCAACACCGGCCGTATCCACCGCCATGACAGCATCCCAGCGCCAGCCCGCCCAGGCCCTGCCGCAAGGTATGCTCAACTTCTGCAAATCGATGGTAGGCCGCTACCTCGAACAAGTATCCGAAGCAGACATGCACGCCTGTCTCCAGACGGCGATTTCTGAGGTCCGTTTGAAACGCAACTCAAAACTCGGCCTGACTAAGGATCCATCACACCAAGCCTCGTCCACTCCCAAGCCTAACACGGGGCAAACCACTACCATCCCGTCACGAAAACCACCGAAGAAAAAACTCGACAACGCCGACGTCGCGATTGAACACCACGCGCCCGGCGACCAAGACATGGAAGCGGGGTCGTCAGAAATGACCCCGTCGGCGACAACAGCTGCCCAAAATCCTTCCTCAAGTGGGCTCTCCTCTTGCTCTGATGGCGCTGCCGCGGCCTCAACGTCGCTGTTCACCTTCACAGCTAACAAGGGAGAAAACAGCGACAACGATCACAACTCGCCCCACCCATGGGTGACAAAGCTTTCGAAAAAAGCGGCCAAGAGAGCACGCCTTAGCGCAAAATCCGACACGCGCACCGTGGACTCCCCGCCTAAACCCAAAACGCAAGAGCGCCACATGATCACATTGCGCCCAAAGACCAAGACAGACGTCACAACTCTCCCAAAAAAAAGGGCTAATGGAGGCCATCACCGCCTCCGTCCAGCTCGCACCGGGTGCGGTCTCCATTAAAACCACCAAGGAAACCAACACAATAACCGTCACGGTAAACTCCGAGGCTACCGCCCAAACGCTTCTTGGCATTACCGAAATCCATATTGCTGGGAAACCACCTCTACCCATCCAGGCGTACAAGCCAGTCGGCGACAACCAAATCCGCGGTGTCATCTATGGCATCGACCAGGGAGATGACAATGTTTCACTGATGGCAGGCCTGGAGACTGAGGGGTCAGTGATTGTGGCAGCTCGGCCGATGAGCCGAGGAGGCAATACTGCACTCATCACCTTCCAGGGAACCCATCTACCCAGACACGTCTGGTACAGGCGCAGCGTCCTGCAGGTACACCCGTACAGGGCACGAGCTGTGACCTGCAGCAACTGTCATAAGATCGGCCACAAGCCGGACATCTGTCCAGAACCCCAGGTCTGCTCCGCGTGCGGAAAGCCCCACGAAGAGACAATGGACGACCAAGGAAACGTGACCTGCCCTTCCCCCATCCCTTTCTGCCAAATGTGCCGAAAGAATGGACACCTGGCTACAGACAAATACTGCCGAAGGAGACTTGATATTGTCCGCAAAATTCGAGAGGCGGCGCGACGGCATACCACTCCTCCGGGGTCTCAAGACAACTCAAAGCGCATCCGACAAGACTACCGCAAGAAGCGGGGAAAGGGTCAACAGCCTGCGCCCCAGCTAACTGCTCCTCAACGATTACCATCGACCCTGCCATGCTGCTCCAGCTCTTCACGGCCATCGCCGCCCAGACCGGCACTGCCGTACAGAGCGACCCTAACCCCCAGCATGGCAGTAAATGTGACCCAGTGGAACTGCCGAGGTTTGCGGTTACGTGCCGCAGAACTCAAAGCCACGCATCATAACAAACCACAGGAACGCCCAGACGCCTACCTACTGCAAGAAGTCTACTGTACCACCGTCTAGCTGACCGGCTATAAGTCCTACGCAAATCCCTCGATACCGTCCGTTAGGGCGGGCCAGTTCGGAGGCCGGGAAGGACAAGCCATGGTCTACCTCAAGAAACACTGGCCGCAGCACAAGATCGACCTTCAGCAATGGTGCACGGAACATCAGGAAGTGGTAGCCGTTCGAACCACCCAGCAAGACATTCCTGTCATTCTGGTGTCCGTGCATTACCGACCTGGGGCTTCCCTCAGGGAACCCAGGAACCACGGATGGATTGCTCACCTCGACGGCCTTTACCCAAAAGAGCAGAAGATAGTCGGGGGAGACTTCAACCTCCAACACACAGCGTGGGGCTACGCCCAGGACACCTCGGCAGGCCAAAATCTTTTGGATGAAATGACCCACCACCGCTACACCCTGATGAACACCGTAGGGATGAACACACAACTGAGCTGCAACGCTCGGCAGAAACACACCACCCCAGATACCACCTAGACAAACAGCCCACACACGGCCAATCACACTTGGAAGCCGGAGGCCGACACTCGCGGGAGCGATCACCTGCCCATCAGGATAGTCCTGGCCCTCAACCGATCGGCGGCCTCCAAGCCCGGGAAACGGCTCGTACATGTCGTGAACTGAGACCTGTACAGGAGCAAACTCCAAAGCAGCACAGCACCAACGGTCTTCGAGTCCATCAAGGAGGCCCTCCTGGCCGCGACCACAAAGAAACAAATAAAGCTCGACACTCCCATCCCGGACCTTCCCCTGTTGAATCTCTGGGCTCGGCGGCTGAGGGCTCTACAACGCTACAGAAGAGGCCCGAAAAACGCGCGAGCCTTGAGGGAGGTGACAAGAGCCACGGTAGCTGCCCGCAAATATGCGGTTCAGCTCGATCGGCAAAAGTGGCTGGAGTTCAGTGCCTCGCTCTCGGAAAAAACATCTGCTCAAAAACTATGGGCAGTCACCAGAGCCATGCTGGGCAAAACAAGGGATCGCGCAGCGACCCTCACGCTCGCACTCACGACAAACAAGACGGTTGAAACGCTAGCGCAAAAGGCTGGAGACACGCTCTTCCCCCAGCCAGCGGCGACCAGCACCCCACCAGCTGTGGGGGACCCATACGAAAGGGTCAAGATCAACGAGAAGGACCCCATGAACCAACCTTTCACCAGAGGAGAAATGGAGGACGCTCTACACCACGGGAAACCAAACGGCGCTCCAGGTCCGGACGGAATAACCACCGCCATGCTCCGAAACCTTCCCGAAGCCACAAAAACTCGGCTTCTTGAAGACATTAACGAAGTGTGGCGCACTAGCAACATTCCAGACCAGTGGAAACTCTCCACTGTTATTCCAATTCCTAAGCCCGGCAAGAAGCCGACCACCCTAGCCAACTTCCGTCCAATCTCTCTCACCTCCTGCGTCTGCAAGCTGGTGGAGAGAATGCTACTTGGCCGCCTCTCCTGGTATCTGGAGCGGGCGAAAGCCTTTCATCCGACGCAGACAGGGTTCAGAACTGGCCTGGGCACGCAGGAAAGCCTTATCCTACTCTCCAAAGATCTTATTCCAAAGCCCATTCAACAGAAATTTAAAATCAGAACAGTCGTCGCGATTGATGTCAAAAAAGCCTTCGACAGCGTCCCACACTGGGCAATTGTCCAAGAAGCGCGCGCCCTCGGCATTGAAGGCCGCGCCCTAAATTTCATCAAGTCTTTCCACGAGACTCGCACCTTCGCGGTCCGGATCGGCAAACACCTGGCAGCGCCAAAACCGAACAAAGTAGGAGTTCCACAAGGGTCAGTTCTGTCCCCACTTCTCTTCAATTTGGCCATGGCGCGTCTCCCCGGTCGACTGCAACAGGTATCCAACCTCCATTTCACCATCTATGCGGACGACGTTTCCCTCTGGACAGTGCGCGGCAACGTTCCGCAACAACAGCGCGTCCTCCAACGGGGGATCGACGTCGTGACAAGTCACCTCCAAAGCGTAGGCTTAACCGCCTCGCCGGATAAGACAACCTACGTAGTCATAGCCCCCAGACGGGAAAGGGACGCGAAGCTCAACTCTTCACTTGACTCTCGCGGGCCAACCGATCAGATCAGCACCTGAGGTACGCATCCTAGGACTCCAATTCCACGAGGATGGCACCGCAAAGGCTTGGCTAACAATGGTCACCCAACAGTGCCAGGCAGCACTTAACGTCTTTAGAAGGATCAGCGGCACCAGAGGAGGCGCTGACGAGGAAGTTGCCCGCCGCATGGTGAAAACCCTCATCGTCTCCCGCATCTGCTACGGTGCCCCCCACTACCGACTTTCCAACACACAATGGAAGAAACTGGAAATCCTTACCAACAACGCAGCTCGAATTGTCACTGGCCTCCCCCGATATACACCGCTAGACAAGCTCAAGGCACACGCGAAGCTCAACACGGCTCGAGAAACCGTAGAGGAGAGAGCACGAGCTCATCTAGAGCGACTCCAACACTCAGCCTCCGGACGACAAATCCTAGAGATGATCGGCTCAGATATCAGAGCCCTTCCCCCTCTCCCGGAGGTTGACCCCCCATGGAGCGACGATGTGTGCCTCGTGGACGACCGACCGGTACCAAGAAGAGCCGGGCCCAGTCGCCCTGGCAAGCAAGCTTGCCAAGTGCGACAGCACTGCAAACTCGTCCAAGAGTGGACGGACACCAATGAGAAGCTCGCAGCATACACTGATGCGGCTTTCGTCTCCTTCCCTAAACCGTTTTGCTCCGCTGCGGTTGTGATTCCCCGCCTAGGAATCACCATGGCCGAAACATTGCCCGGCGGCACATCGGTCAAGGGCGAAGAACTTGGAGCTATCCAACTGGCACTGCGTACCGTCATCGAGAAGGAAATCCGACCGACACACCTACAGATTTTCACTGACTCTGCGGCTGCATTAATAGAATGTCGCTCTCGCCACTCCCCAAACAAGCGAGTTAAGGCAATCCGAAGGATGGCCTCCGACCTAATTGCAGCCGGTTCAACCATCAAAATGTCCTGGATACCTGCCCACGCAGACATTCAGGGCAACGTACAAGCTCACTGCATGGCCCGCGCGCATCTGGATTCCCCCCGCGAGCCGAGTAGTGTGCCAAATCACCTACAAGAACACGGGTACTCGCTCCCGCCTGAGCTTGGCGACGATGGCGAAGACCCAGACTACGACCCTGAGGAGGCAAAACAGCTCGTTAAAGAATCCTCAAGACAGACCCTGAGGGCAGCCCTGACCCCCTGCGTAAATCCGCTCCCGAGCGGAATGGGCAGGGGATCAACGGTGCTGCTCCGGAGGATAATCACAAACACCACATGCACACCGGCACGCAGGACGCATTGGACCAAGCCACCCACATC